CTTCCGGTCAAGTTCTGATCCACCATGCGCCGTAATCATCGCTCCGCAATGATCTTTATCGATGGTACATCTGTGGAACACATGATCTTGGTTCATCCACCTTGGTTTACAGGGTTCATCCAAATCGCTTCGCTCAATCGCCTGGTATTCCCACTCTGGCTCTTAGCTGCGAAGTTCGATATTTCGATGTGGATTGGCGGTGTACGAGGCCAATTCAACCTGGCGGATGCTCCTTGTGTAGACTCTACGGTAGAGTCTTTACCATGGCTTCCTATCTTGCGATCGGCATAGGTTGGTCAGTCCGCATCCATCTTTATTGAATTATGGAAATTATCAGCATGCTCTCACGACATGATGTTACAATATTCATGACCCGTGTGAGTATGTTTCTTGCTTTGTGTTTTGCACTCACCCTTTGTTCCTTCGTCAGCAAAAACTCTTCATTTCTCTCAATGTCTGATGAGATTCTTTTTTCAATGAATGTTGCTGCTGCGAGATTAAGGTTGCAGCGACTGCGAAGTGCTCGATTACAGGCTTCATATATATTCACATCGGTGCCACGCCGCATATTTCTGAGTCCCTCGACCATAATTGCGTCTACACGTCTTTTTACCTTGCACAAAACACGATATTGTTGCAGTCTTCCCTCCGACTAAACATCTATCGATCTTCAAATCCATGGGAGATGATCTCCCGGAGATTGACCGGGAGCATTGACATAACCCCTCTCATCGAAAGAGCAGCGTTCAAACTACCTTTGCGCTCCGTTCTTCTATCTACCTGTGATATGATGAGAATCGCGCTCGCCACGGTAATCGATATACTGGTAATATCATACTGATCGGTTTGAGCTAAGCTGTATTAAGCCTTTAAGCTGTAGTCTTATCTCTTTCCATTCCAATGTTATTACGACTTATCTACATTCTCATCTTGCTTGTGTTAACTTACCATATGGTGCCCAGACCCTCGACTATTAACGACCTCGACGACGAGAACCTCTATGACTTTGTTGCCGCCTTGGGTACCGAGGAGGAAGAACATTTAGGTGATGAGAACACTCAGGCAGAGTTCAACGTTGTCAACGACACGGGCTATGGTACTACCGAGGAGCACGAGGAGGAGGAGACTGGGAAGAATAGTTCCTCTAATACCGGTCAAGAACAGCCTGGCAAAGACGATACTGCTGAAAGTAGCCAGACCAAGAATACTACTGCCCTCACTACTACTACAACTACTACTTCCAGTCCATCGTCAACAACCACATCGGTTATAAGTGGCACTTTGAGAACATTCTCTATAATGCCTTCTCCCTACAGTGGGAAAGAAGACCCTGTACCTTGGCTAACCAGATTTGATTCAACCTTGGATATGCTAGGTAACCGTGTCCCTCCTGGTGAGAAGTTCGCATTGTTACGCCTCAATCTCCAAGGTGGTGCTTATACGACAATCGAAGCCAACGTCTGCCCCTCATCACACGTTACTGTAGCCGAGGATGACAAGCTCTATCGTAAAGCCCGAATGGTGTTGATAGATAGGTATGGTATGGATCTATTCAAGAGCTGGCATCAGTTCATCAATCGTAAGCTTCGTCCTAACGAATCTCCAGCTGAGTTCCTTACCGAGCTACAACGTTTGGTATCATTATCGAGACCATCGGGTATCAAGCTCGATCAAACATGGATGAACTCAGCAGCTTGCCTTATGTTCTGGGAAGGTTTGCCGAGTGATATTCCAGGGTTGCCAGCCCTGAAAAGTCAGTGGAAGACTCTTTGGGAGTCTCGTGGTGATATTGTAGAGGGCTGCCTCAGATTGGCAAAGAGCATTAAGATTGATGAGCCAGGAGCCATAGCTGCTGTTTCAGCTTACCCTTCCTACCCTTCTGTAAAAGGGAAAGGAAAGGGGAAAGGCAAAGGAAAGGGCTTCACAGGAAAGGGCCGGACCTGGAAGGCAAAGGTCGATTTGGTTTCCGGAATAGAACCATTTATAAGAGTGATAACTCTTTATCACCAGTGAGATGTTACTGTGTAATGGTCGTGGCCATGTAGCTAAGATTGCCCCAGTCAGCCCA